AGAAGATCCCCGAGGGCCCCTGCCCAAGCTCAGGGTCCCCTGCCAACTGTTTCTTCCTCTGGGGCTGAGCCCTGCAGCAGAGCTCAAATGGTCTCCCACTGCTGGCATCCGCTCTGTGCACACAGGATGTGCCACTGCCAAGCTTGGGGCTTCGTGGAAATTACGCCCTCTCAGACTTGATGAGGCTGTGCTGTCCTTGGCACGCCCTTGCCCGTGGTGCTTTTTACTTGGAATGGGAGCCAAGAAATTAATGTTTTTACTTACTCAACTAGAAGTGTCATTTATGCAGATGAAGAGAGCAGGTTGGAATGAGGAGCGGCTCAGAATGTGCTCAAATGGAATCCTGAATCCTCCTTCCTTGTAGAGAAAAATAATCCTGTGAAAAACATTGTTGTAGTATTTTTAAATGAAATTGATTTTATTTTATTTTATTTTTTTTTTGTGTTTTCAAAAACAAATGTGGTTACCCGGGTGCAGTGGTGCACATCTGCAATCCCAGCACTCAGGGAGGCAGAGGCAGGCAGATCTCTGTGAGTTCGAGGCCAGCCTAGTCCACAAAGCGAGTCCAGGACAGCCAGAGCTACACAGAGAAACCCTATCTCAAAAAAGAAAAGGGAAAAACAAAAACAAACAAAAAACCCAAATGTGGTTGATAGCTCTTACTTTTCCTACTACTAAATTAAGACAATTCTCATCCTTGACACCTTGGGGAATAGTGACGATAATATTTTCCACAGCTGTGAAATGCAGCTGTGAGTGCAGCAGTGGCTGGCCCTCTCTCAGCACCTTTTGATCAGTAGAATTGGCAGCAGCCTGTACAAACAATACCTTGAAGATTTAATATTATCCTAAGATTTTCTGGTGTTGTGATGGGTGCTTAAAGATTGGGTGTCAGTGACTACCTGATATTCTCTTCTGTAGTAATTCCCACTTTCTGCTACTGTAACAAAATGCCCAGCGCAGACTAACTATGAAGCAAAAAGACTGATGCAGCTCACAATCCAGGTGACTGAAACGCCATAAGGTTAGGCAGTCCCAGCGTAGTAGCTCTGGTCGGGGAAGCGTTGGAGCACATGTGGAAGGCAAGGGCCACAGCATGTGAAACAGGAAGCCAGAGAGTGCACAAAGTCAGGCTCAGGGTTCAGTACCAACCTGTCCTTCCAGATTTGAGGGTCTCAGGAGAGTTATGTTGATCCCTGAGATGAGCAGTTCCTTCAAGGGGGCTGGAGGCCCCACTTGGCTCCTCCCATGTTGGTGACTAGGAAGCCTTGCAGGAAACTGCATTCATACACAAGCAAACCACACAGCCACAGTCCTTTTGGGGACAACACAGTGGAGATCTCTTTATTTGTTTTACTTTGGATTTTTCTTTTGAGGTCATCTATTAGCCAGTGATAACCTTTAACTCCTGTCCTTGAAATGTGTGGATACCCACCTTGGGCCTATATCTTTGTTCATGTTACTGATTACGATGAAACATATTTCTAATTCTGAGGCTTCCAGGGAAGGCTAGATGAGTTGTCTAAATGTCATGGGACAATGTTCACCAGTAAAGATAAATCGTATCTAAAGTTCAAGTTGGTGCTGATACATGCCTTTAATCACAACACTTGGAGGACAGAGGCAGGTAAATCTCTGTGAGTTTGAGGCCAGCAGGGTCTACACAGTAAGACCCTGTCTTTAAAAACAAACAAATACAAGCCAAAGCAATAATGAGAAAGTGGGTCCTTTAGACAGATTGGGACAGCTATAGCTGTTGGAAAATATGGTGGTTCCAATAATTGATGACCTCCTGTATGCCAGGCACAGTGCTAGGTGCCTTGAATGCTACATCTGAAGCCGCCATCCACAGGCTTTAGTTAGATCACTAACCTTGAGAAAGATGGATGGCTTTTAAGTTAGGTCAGATGGAAGCCAGCTCTTGTGTGCTTTCCATAAAGGGGGGGCTTAGCTTTCTCAAGGTAACTCCTGCCTCTGCTAGGTAAGATCTGACTTGACAAGGACCCATCTTGGGATTGGGGATGTGGCTCAGTTGGCAACACTCAGGAAGTCGCCTAGCATTCAGGAAGCCCTGGTTTCTGTCCCCTGGACTTCCGTAAAACTGGGCATGGTGGCACATCTCCATCATCCCAGCACTCAGGGGGTGGACATAAGAGAAGTTCAGGGTCATCCTAAGCTATATAGGGAGTTTGAGTTGGAGGCTAGTCTGGGTTACATGAACCCCTGTCTCAAACGAACAAACAAACAAACAAACAAACAAACAAGTAATACAACAAAGACCAAAAACACGCTTCAGTGCCAAAGAGCTTGAACTGTTCTTACAGAGGATCCCAGCACCCATGTCCGCCAGGCTACCACAATGTATGATGCCAGTTCCATGGGATCCTGTGCTTTCTTCTTGCCTCTGAGAGTATCTTCGTGTGTACACACACACACACACACACACACACACCCTCTTATACCCACAACACAGCCTAGTTCCCTTATTATGAGATGCCTGTTGCGTTCTAGGCTAGACGAATGTGCTGTCGCTCAGGGCACATTTTCTTCTGTCGCCCAGGGAATATCTGACATCAGATACGTGGTTGTCACACTGGGAGCTGTCTGCTACCGGTGTCCCATGCACAGGAGCTGGGGATTTTGTACAGAGCAGGCACAGGGCAGCCCCCACCACAGAGTGACATGTCCCTTGAGCGTCAGCCGTAATCAGGTGAGAGACACAAAGGAAGCAGACCTATACTACAGTCTCAGCAAACAGTTTCTAGCTGTGTGCCTTTCAGTAAGTTGCTTGGCCTCTCTAAGCTTGGGCTGCTCAGATTAATATAACTGATGTATGAGAGATGCACAGGGCTTGGCTACTTACTATCTGCAGTCCAGAATATAGAGGGAACATTGACCTTGGGCTTGTTTCATGGTACTTGAATTTGATTGGATTTTACTATTTGTAATCACTAGTTAAAGAGTTTGCTCCTGCTGATGGCTTTGGTCTGTATCCACCGCTTTAATTCAGAAGGATGTTGGCATCCTAGCATAGAGAAAGGGAGGAAGGGAAAGTGGGAGGCATCTTTTTTGCCTTTGATAGAAGGGTGTGTTGTCAACACCCTGGGCTACTCAGTCTCTTCGGGACTTAGGGAGGTGTATAAGGCTGAAGGAAGCCATTCCCCTCCCTAACAACTCTGCAGTCCCCTGTGGGCCACTAGGCTCCATGTGCCTATCTTTGCATGTCTCTCACTTTCTCTTCAGTCCCCTGTGATCTGAGGAGTCAGATGGAAATTCGTGTTCTCCATGTTCTCTTCAGTGAGATGTGAGGCCAGATGAGAGTCCCTGTCTCTGCCCCCCCTTCAGTCTCTTGTGACATGTAAGGCTGGATGGGGTCATGTCCTCCAGCTTCTCTGTAGTCTGTGTGGGCTGTGAAGCCAGATGGGGGCCCGTGTTGGCATGTCTCCCCCCTCTTGCCACAAGAGTCTGGCCCTCTTTTAGAAACTGTTATGGATCTGCTCTTCAAACTGCTGATCCAAAAGGAGAGCAGAGCACACTGGCTTATTTAGTTTAGTTTTGTTTTTTGGCTAGATCCTGTCTTCAGGTTGGATAGAGCACAGATACTTCCCAGCCACTGTGATCCTGTAACCCCTCAGCTGCCCAGAGGCCTGCACTCAGAAGGGTCCCTAGATGCTGGTATGCTCTGCATCTCCTGACACTAAATTCCTGGTCACTTGGACATTTTTATTTAAGGCTGTCCAGCTTGGTAGCAGAGCAATTGTCTGAGGAACATGAAGCTCTAAGTTTGATCCCCAGTACTGGAAAACATTTTTTCTTTTGTTTTCCTTCATTTCATTAGTACTTTGTTTTAGCACGTAATTAGTGCTGGTATTTTGTTTCCCTTCATTTTAAAGTAGCTGGCCATGTGTGGGGCATGGAATGCAGGAAATCTCATGGCCTCTCTGCAGCCCTTCCTGTGTGATCATAGGCTCCAGGCCTAGAAAGCACGGGTCCCTGAGGCATCTCTTTTTCTTGAGAAGTCCCCAGCATCTCTCAAGCCTGTCCTTAAGGTTCTCTCTCCTTTCTTGGAATTGCAGCAGCCTTTCTCAGGCCAGTGCTGTTTGCTGTGTTCCATGTGTAGTAATCCTTTTCTGGGCTCACAGCTGCCTCAGAGTTCCCAAAGGCATTTCCACTTCCATGGAACTGCAGGCATTCCTCAGGCTGCTGTGTGAGCTAAGCACAGGAGTTTCTTTTCAAGTGCTTCCCAACAGCTGCTCCCACAAGCAACAACCTTCCCAACAGCTCCACCCCAATAGCCCCCAAAAGCTCCCCCCAACAGCTCTCTTCAACAGCTATCCCCCCAACAATTATCCTCCCGACAGCTCCACCCCCAAAGCCCCCTCCCAACAGCTCTCCCTTCCCACAACAATTCTCCCTGGGCAGTGGCTTAAGCAAAGAAAACATTTTGCTACTATAACTAGCAAGACTGCATAGTTGCTTTGGCAGCTGAGTAACAACAGAATCCTAACTTGGAGCCTCTGAAGTTTTCTTGACATTCCTCCCACCGCTCCAAACTACCATCACACCCTGCATACAGGTGATTTCCATAGCTCCGCATCTTTGTCACAGAGGGAGAATGCTTTGCGAGGCCCTGCCACCTCTTTCTGGCTACAATCAGCAAAGAGGACATAGATGATAAGGCAAAGCTCAGGTCAGTCAGGACAAGTTCCAGATAAGACTTGTGCAAGGTACTGCTCGGCCTGTTCTGGTTAAACTCCCCACAAAATCAGGGTGTCCACTGTGGTTTCTCTGATATTCAAAACAATGCCAGGAATCCAACAGCCAGTCCCTGACGGAATGTGAGGGCAGAAGGAATGCATGAGTGACCACATGGGTCCTGATGATAGGGTGGGTATCCACTGACTCCAGCAGCTTCCACTCCCAGTCTGACCAGCATGATGCTCATAGATGACCTCTGACCACCCTGATCTTTGACCTTGATCTTGTGTCTTTTCTCCCAGGGAGGGAGCCATCTCTGGAGGCTGCCCTTGTGCCAATGAGCCTTCCCAACACATCCTCTGCCTTCGAAGACAAGATGTGTGAGGGGAACAGGACCGCCATGGCCAGCCCTCAGCTGCTGCCCCTGGTGGTGGTTCTAAGTAGCATCTCCCTGATCACAGTGGGCCTCAACCTGCTGGTGCTGTATGCTGTGCACAGTGAACGCAAGCTGCACACAGTGGGCAACCTGTACATTGTCAGCTTGTCGGTTGCAGACCTGATTGTAGGGGCGGTTGTCATGCCCATGAACATCCTGTATCTCATCATGACCAAGTGGTCCCTGGGCCGCCCCCTCTGCCTCTTTTGGCTCTCCATGGATTACGTGGCTAGCACGGCATCCATCTTCAGTGTCTTCATCCTGTGTATAGATCGCTACCGCTCTGTCCAGCAACCCCTCCGGTACCTGAGGTATCGAACCAAGACCCGGGCATCAGCTACCATCCTGGGAGCCTGGTTTCTCTCCTTCCTGTGGGTTATACCCATTCTTGGCTGGCATCACTTCATGTCCCCAGCTCCAAGTCTTCAGGAAGACAAGTGTGAGACAGACTTCTACAATGTCACTTGGTTCAAGATCATGACTGCCATCATCAACTTCTACCTCCCCACTTTGCTCATGCTATGGTTCTACATGAAGATCTACAAGGCTGTGCGGCAACACTGTCAGCACCGCCAGTTTACCAACGGGTCCCTCCCTTCCTTCTCTGAAATCAAGCTGAAGTCAGAGGATGCCAAGGAGGGTGCCAAGAAACCTGGGAAAGAGTCTCCCTGGGGTGTTCTGAAAAGACCATCAAAAGACCCTATTGGAGGATTGGATCAGAAGCCAACATCTGAAGACCCCAAGATGAACTCTCCAACTGCCTTCAGCCAAGAGGGGGATAGGGAAGTTGCCCCACGCCACTGTTTCCATCTTGACGTTATGCAGACACAGACTGCGGCTGATGGAGGCACCAGGGGCTCAGAGGCCAATGACCAGGCTCTGAGACAGCCCAAAATGGATGAGCAGATCCTGAGCACTTGTCGGCGGATCAGTGAGACATCAGAGGACCAGACCTTAGTAGACAGACAGTCCTTCTCCCGGACCACAGACTCAGACAACAGCATAGAGCCAGGGCTGGGCAGAGGCAAACTGAGAAGTGAGTCTAACAGTGGCCTGGATTACATCAAGATCACCTGGAAGAGGCTCCGCTCACATTCTAGACAGTATGTGTCTGGGTTGCACTTGAACCGAGAGCGGAAGGCAGCCAAGCAGTTGGGTTTTATCATGGCCGCCTTCATCCTATGCTGGATCCCCTATTTCATCTTCTTCATGGTCATTGCCTTCTGCAAGAGCTGCTGCAGTGAACCCGTGCACATGTTCACCATTTGGCTGGGCTACATCAACTCTACATTGAACCCCCTCATCTACCCCCTGTGTAACGAGAACTTCAAGAAGACGTTCAAAAAAATCCTGCACATTCGCTCTTAAGGGCACACCAAAAGAATGCCACAGAGTGGGTGGATATGTCTGATGTCGAAGAGGAAACCAGAGGAAGGAAGCATGGCTGCCACTATACCCCTGGGCAATGGGGCGTGGAATCTAAGGTCTTGGGCTGAGCAGTATGGAGGCATTCCCAGGCACTGTCAGAAAGAAAGCAGGTGGCAGAAAGATTGTACTTGGGGTAGTAGAATTTGGAGTATTTGAAAGCAACCTGGGCAGAGCATGCCTGGCCCTCAGGGACCATGGAAATGTCAGATGATTTTTGGAAGTCAATCTCTCTGACTCAAGTGTGGACGTGTTGCTAGAGTCCTTCTGTGGGGTTAGTCTGGACTCTGAGACTTTCCGAAAGAAAAGAAAAAAAAAAAAGCTGTGTGACTACAGAGACATGCACACAGATGCTGTCTCCTTACAAGGGTTATCTGGACAGGCATGGCCACTGTCCTGCTTCTCAGAACACAGCCCTTCTGAGCCCAGCCTCTCTTATAGCCTTGCCCAGAGCTGTCTGCCCCACCGTGGAGCCTGCCTTACCTGTGTCTTAGAGTTGCTAGGAAATTAGGCAGCTTGTGAGTCCATCATTTTCAACTCCTAGTTCCTTTTGGCTCTTAATATGACAACAACAACAAAACTACAACACAATGACAAAAACTCCACTCGAAAGTCAAGAGGAGGAGAAAGTAGTTTTTGAATAGTTGTATCTTTTAAGTTTTAAAATTTTGATTTCTGAATATCTGTATGCATTGCATCTTAAGCAAAAGAAAGGCAAGAGAACGTTGTTTCTTAAAGGCTCCACCAGGGGGCTCTCACTCAAGGCCTTTGACATGACAGAAAACACACGTAGGTTTCCTTTGCAGACAGACAAGCTGAGTAACAGCCAGGAAAACAAGGTTCGTGAGATCATTTGACATTCATGTCAGAAACTGAGAATGAGAACCCTGTCACTGATTTTCTCCAAAAACGAAGAAGAAGAAGAAGAAGAAGAAGAAGAAGAAGAAGAAGAAGAAGAAATAATAATCCTGTCAGTTCTCACAGTGAGAAATCCATACTCACAGTGTTCTCCAAGAGAGGTGACAATGACCCAAGAAGCTGGCATGGAGCACATCTGTGTGCACAAAGGGTGATTCTCAGAAGGGACAAATGTACTTTTCTATCTGTGAGAAGGTGTGATTTCTAATCATACATGCTAAGTGTGATTTCTAGTCACAGATGCCTTTTAAAGTCATGGAAGCATCCAGTTTTATTTATGCCACAGTCTGGTTGAGATTTATATTTTAAAATATAATGTTGGAATGTGTGTTGGAAGTAGGAACCCCTGTAAAAGCTGGTCTTTTGTGTCTGTGTTCCTGTTTGCATGATCTGTCCAAATGAGATATTTTTGCTTACCTAAAACATGACATTTGGGAGGATACTGTTACATGGCTGTTTGTGTCTACTTTTCTAAATCTCACAGGCTTAGAACAACTGGAAACAAAAGTCTGACAAGGGATGTCTGCTCAAATTTATAAACGTCCTTTAAAATGACTTTTATTTTCTACAACGTGAGGGGAACAGGACAGCCATGACCAGACCTCAGCTGTTGCCTCTAGTGATGGTTCTAAGTAGCATCTTACCTAACTTTGCATCAGGGGACCCACTTCATAATTAGGCTTTGGGAGATCTTAGGGCTATGCAAAGAGCGAAGACAAGGGATCCATGAATACAAGTTGTCAGCTCAGGAACAAGGTGCCCTGTGATGATGCTCAGGCTTTCCAAAACTTACGTGATGTCTTCTACATGGGAAATTTCACACGTACATTAAAAATAAAGTATTGGGGCTGGAGTAATGGCGTGGTGCTTAAGAGCACTGTCCAATCGTACAGAGGACCCAGTTCAGTTCCCACCTCCAACATGGCGAATTACAAGCATTTATAAGTCTCTCTCTCTCTCTCTCTCTCTCTCTCACTCTCTCTCTCTCTTTCACACACACACACACACACACACATGCACACACACAAATGCACACACACACAGCCCACAGTCTACTCCTTTGGTTCTCTGAGATGGGATGATACCTGGGCACAGATATGGGCCACCAGCGTGAAACACATGGAGAAAGCTTATGCCCTGAAATCTTGACCTAAGGGTAGTTCAGGGTGTTTTCCAATTCCAGTAGGTTCCCCAACTGTATGTCAAGCCTGAAACCTCCTCCTTGAGTCTGGATTGGTTCTCAGTTCATGATTGGAAGATGTATTGCTGCTATTCTGGATCCAAGACCCTTTATCAATCAGCGAGGCTTATTTCAGTGTTTGCCTCTTGGGCACCTCACTTCTCTAAGTCTAATCAACTCAATGAGAGTGAGAAAGTTTGTCAGTGGCTTCTGCTCTTGGATCTGTGTGTGGCAGAACTCTACATTGGGTATCTTGCTCTGTGACTCCCTGCCTGAGCCCTTGGAGACCCACCTTTTGGTGCTGGGTATCAGAAAGTCCCCCTGGTCCTCACACAGTGCTGGCTTACAGGCAAGCATGTCTGCATGCCCAGCCTTCAATTCAGATGCTGAGGTCTGACCCCTGCTATGCATGCTTGTATGCACAGCTATCTCACCCTGAGTCATCTCTGCGTCACTTAACACTGAGTTTCTCCCTTCCCTTTGCTTCTCAGTGAAGCTCATGATCTTCAAAGCATAAAAACACATGTAGAGGTGGGTTTCCTATGCTTTCTGGATTTGCTCTGACCATGCAACTCCACGTTGACTGGCATGAACTTTCTAGACCTGGCTGAGCTCAAAATCGTAGACATACCCCTGCCTCTGTGGGAACAGGTTCAAAGAAATCTGCACGCACATAGAAAAGGCAAGTAGCCTGAGGTTTGCTTTGCTTTCTCGATACCTTTCTCTCTCTCTCTCTCTCTCTCTCTCTCTCTCTCTGTATTTGTGTGTTAGTTTCTGTGTGTGTGTGTTGCTCTTTCTATCCCTCTGTCTTCTGCTGTGGTTTTCTGGCAATGACTTCTGTAGCTTAAGATGCTCTGACGCTCTCTCTGTCTACCTATATGAAGGCTTACTCTCAAGAGCCAGGCCTCACACAAACCCTCAACTGCTGAGATTCCAGAGGGTGGCAAACATAGTGGGGTGCTCAGCTTAGTGACACTGTCCATAGCTAAATCATCCCTCCCTCAGGGGAACAGTGGCACGTCACTTGCATCCACCGTAAACTTCTAGTGCCTCTCTGCAGAGCATGCACACTCCTCCTGTGTCAGGCACACTGTTGATGGATCTAGTGACCTAAGGAGATAATTGGTCAGGTACAAAGCACTTCCCCTTTCATGTTCATTGTGGCTTTCAGCCATGTATTCAAGAGAGGGGACCTGCAGAGCTCGGGAAGTATGGCAAACACGGCACAGAAAAGTATTTAGACCAATGGTGGAAGCGCCATGCTTGGAGTGAGAAGACACTCAAAAGAGCAGGATTGCTGGCATTTCGTCCATGCAGGTGGCACAGGCCTTGGCTCTTGGACCCGGGGAGGAAGAGGCAAGTGCCTCCCTGGAAGTTCCAGAGCAGCGTGCAATAGAGATGGAGGTCTAGGACAGCCCTGGCTTTCCAGGATGACCGGGAGACCACTTTCACCAGCCACAAGAAAAGCAGCGCTCCTCAAAGGGCAATTAAAGAACACAAAGAAAGCATCCCAAACATTGCCATGACAACTCAGAGTCCTGCTACCTAGGTTGCCACAGAATCGGATCGTCATGGGGTCCACTGGAGTCACTGGCAGGAAGGCAGCATTCTAGCTAAGCGTGGGGCCTCGCGCCTTGCATCTGGACTTTGCGGGGTCCCGGACCAGTAGGGCAGACCTCAGCTGAAGAGAATCCAGGGCGGCCTAGGGAGTTTCAGGATGCTGGGCCCAGCAAGATGCTAGGGCAAAACCCCGCCCAGAAGCCCTTGGGCTTAGGCAGCTCCCTCTTCGCTGCTGGAAAAGGCTGAGAGGTGGCTCTGGAGCAGCAGGTCCCCAACAGCCCTTTCAGGGTTCTGTGAGAGGCCATAAGAGGGGCCTCGCTCTCTTTAGCACCGCCTAGTCGTGAGCGAGGCTTGCCTCCAGCTTTCCAAGCCTGACTGCTGGATGGACACATGGGAGACCCTCTCCCTGGCCCTTCTACTCCATGAGGGAGCCCAAGGCAGGGGCCCTGCATGAAACGTGGGCATTCCCGAAATGAGATGTGTGTGTCTGTGCTTCTCTAGGACGGGAAGTAGAGGAGGGCTGGCTTGGGTGTGAGGAGGATTGTCGTGGCTTCTGCTCTTGGATCCATAGGCGGTAGAACCCTCTCTGTAGGGCGGCCTGCCCTACGAGTCCTGTCTGACCACTTGGAGCCCCATTCCCCGCTGCTAGACAGCAGCCAGCCCTTGGGGCCTTCACTCTATGATTCCCACAGTGCTGGCTCCCAGGCTAGCGTGTCTGCACGCCCAGCTCT